GGATCTATTTTAGGTCTTTCTTTTAAGGCTCCCTATGCACCAGATCTTATTTTTCTCAATCCCAAGGCAGCCTTCCAGGACCCACTTATATTGGTTTTGTAGCTACAGCAAAAGCCATCTGCCTGAGCACACTTTCATTCCTGTGTCTCTCTACACACCAGAATTGAGACTGATTAAACAAAGACTTCTGCGTTTTATTGCAGCAGTTTAAATCTTTACACCTCATTACAGAGCTCTTGATGCTCCCCTTCTTTGCATCCTCCCCATGCCAAAATGAAGCTCTTTGGGCTATCCAGACTTTGCTTTGGGAGCTTGGGCTCATATTGCATTTGAGGTGCCAAGTTTTTGCACAAAGTAAATTGAAAAAAAAAATAAAATTAATCCTTAGAGCTATTTTTAGCAACAGTGAAGGCAGGTGATAAGGGACAAAGTGACTTAGTGCTTCTCCTAGATGAAGGACTTTGCCAAACCTACGTGTCTGCAGCAAAACTCTTGATTTGTAGTTCCTTAACTATATTGGCTACAAACATGGACATGTTTGCCCATGTTGCTCCCATGCCAGAGAGCATGGGCTAACTATGACTCAAGCTGTTACTGTCTCCTTGGGAGGAAGGAAAGGGACTAGTGCATGGACAGCAATGAAAGGAAGTTGTACGAGAATAGCAGGAAAGACTCTTTGGGAAGTTGGTTGTGTCCCCTGACTGATGCATCGTCCCCAGAGAATGCCAGATCCAATGGCCCAGGAATTTCCCAGGTGATATTTAGGTCGTTATTTGCTCTTCCCTTTGGATCCAGCTAGATATTACACAGACTACCTGTAAAGATCATGGCAATCCTTCAGCTCTGGGGAAAAAGATATAACTTTTTCAGAAGCCACTGCTCTTATTTGTTTTGGATGTTATAACATTTCTCTGCCCAGGGAGAAGCAACTTTAACACCATTACTTCATTTGATGAATTTTTAAAGGGTTTTAGAGCAAGCTGGGGGACTTTACAGCTACTGTTCCAGTTTCCCTACCATCTGGTTGCTTCATGGATTTTCTATGTATTCCTGTTGAGTTTTTTAGCCCAGTTTCCTAAGAAAATGAAGCTACTGCTCTTGTACTGCACATGTGTGCTTGTCCACCCATGTATTATGTATTTTTTCCCATGTTTTTCCATGTCATCAGCTTGAGCCTTCTACTCAAACTCAGCCAGATTTATGCAGAGATCTCAATTGTCCTAATGTATTTTCCCATAGGCATCGTTTCTGCCTACACTGTTTGATGCCCATGGGGCAGTAGCTGCAGGGCCAGTCAGCATCCAGGGTGAGGACCAGTTAGACCAAATCACAACCTGCTGGGCAGCAGCCAGGATCCACCCATTACACCTGCATAGAGAAAACACAAGATACTGGCTGGGTGTAACACCCAGGCAGTACCATTGGTGTTGTGTGTTATGTGCCTGAGGCTGTAACACCAGAATCAACTCCTGGACATCATTTTGTGCTGCACGCAGGAGGAAGATTGTCAAGAAATCTTTTCCAAATTGGTAACTACCAAGAGAGATTCAGGATCAATATAAATTGATCCTGATTCCATCTCATTGACCGATATTTAAGTTAAACCTTCCAGTTTAATCGTTGTGTAGATTTTCAATTGGGTCTGAAAGCCCTTTTAAAAGACAGATGACAGGAGCTGGTGGTGAATGCGAAGCGGAGCGAGAGTAGACATGTGAGCATCGTGTAACTGCTTTTTTATCCCTGACATTGCTTACAAACCTCCTCTAAATTTCACAAATGTGGTTGTGCTGAAAGGAAGGAGCAGAGCTGGCAGTGCTGCTGCGCCGGGCGTTACGGGGGATGTAACCTGCTGCTGAGCTTGGCACAGAGACTGAAACCTTGGCAAGGTACTATGGTAACATTTCCATACACATGTTTATGGGTTCTTTGAGGGCTTTTTGGTTAAATGTCAATGTTTTCATCATATTATTCAAGGAGATTTCAGTGCTCCAAAATCCCACTATGCCTTTGAAAAGTGCTTTCAGTTTGTGAGTTGCTCAGAGGAAAATGTGTCTGTCTTGACCGCTCGGTGACGGAGAGCAAAGCTCACTGCTTAGCTGCCTGCCTGGGGGCTTGTTGTGCAGCTCTGCCAAGCAGGGCAAGTGCTGGGGCATCATCCCTATTCCCATCCAGAGGAAGTGAGTGCCCATTGCTTCAAGTTTAACATGATGAAGACACAGAAAGCTGTCACGCCCTGCTCTCCAGCATCTGCGTCTGCTTCTGACCAAGCACTGGGTGTGGGATGGATCCCATTAGCACCAGTGTGAGTTTACTCAGGGTCTCAGCTGACACTGGAAGGAGCAGCCAAAGGCAAGCTTAAGGTTACCGTGTTTCTAATATGGACATTTAGGCTAAATTCAAAATGAGACTGGACTGATCTGACTGTGCTAGGACAGACCTCTTGTTTCCAGACAGGCATTGGGCACCTATGTATTTCCATTAAGATTTTTATGTGTTTCAACACAGGGTGATTTGCAAAACATGGTGCTTTTCCTTGTGAGCTCCTACGTCCCACACCCTTCATTACCCCTTCTGGCCATTTTTTGCCTCTGTGCAGGTTTGGTGTTGACAGCAGGCTCCTGTCTACAGGATGCTGAGTGCTCCCAAAGTGCAGCTGCGCATCCGTGTTTGAACATCTGGTGCTGGAGCTGCTACTGGTCCATTTTTGAGCATCTCTTGTTAAAACTGGAGGCAGACTGAGAGCTGCTGAATTCCTGAATCTCTGCAGGGTTTCTGTTCAACAATATTGCAATTAAAAAAAAAAATACTCTTAGGTGGTAGAATTTAGGATTTCTCACAGTCAGATATCATGGGTCATCACCCCCAGTACTAAAATGTATTACAGGCTCCCAAGTGGGAACGGATTTGAAACACTTTAGCCCTCAGGGAGATGCATTGTCATTTTTTTTAAATGGCTATAGAAACAAAGGCAGGGAAAGTGGCTTCTGAAATGCTTTAGTGCACCTGAATCCATGGCTTGCAGCTACTCCAATGATGGGTGAGCTCCTTTCACCCAGGGCTGCCCCCAGCATCATGGGCTCATTTCATACTGCATTTGCAGTACAAGCTCACCCTGCCTGGGCTGCTGCAGGTGTTAGATTTAAATCTTTTTATTCAATAGGGTTAATCAGCATAATTGCTTTTACACTGGGCATGTGATTATTGGGTGAAAACATGAATCGATTGTTGCCTGAATACTCTGTGATGGGACTGGAAGATAATGAAGAAGGTGCAAAGGGCTGGAAGTGTCTCTCCAGCCCCCTGTTTGTTTGGACTTATTGTGGTACCAAAGATGACATTGCCTATGGGTCTCCCTATGGGCAGGTAAAGTTCCTGTCTTGGTGTAGAGCACTGTCACAGTGAGTAATATATCAGAATGAAATACATTAATCGGCAAGTGCTGGGAAATTACAGCTAGGCTTAATGAAAAAGAAAACCTTGTTTACGATTTCTAATGTGCTGCTGAAGAAACTGGCTCCCAAATAAAAATACTTAAAATTGCGATTAGGATTTATTTACATAATTACTGCAAGAGAAATTCTGGGTACGTGCTAAGCAGCGCAAGAGAAACCTCGTGGCTTTTCTTCTTTGCTTTCCTGTGTCCTGAGCTTAGTTTGCTCTTGGTGAGTCTATTAAAGCTTCTACTAACTCAGTGAGGCAAGAAGCCATTTGTTACAAAATTAATGCATATATATGTGTGTATATATTTTCTTCTATTGACTGTGGTAAGAACATATGGCTGAGTAAAAGCCAGATCATCCTTGTAATTGTAGTGTTGGCTGGAGAATGATTCAGTAGGTGGCACTTATCTCTTTATGGCAAAGCAAGTGTGGCTGTAGTGAGAACGCCCTTGGAGTTTGTTACCAAGGGGCTTTGTCCCCCACTGGTATGAGCGAGATCTGCCAAAGTTGCCATAGAAATTTATCTTAATGGTCTGTTCCCAATGGTACTGCCCAGCATGTCCTGGCCACCTTCCAGCCCCTGCAGAAACCCTGGGCCAGATCTTCGGATAGTGCCTGGGTGGCTCTGTTGACTCTGCTGATTTATATCTGCTGGAAATGTACAGCAGAAATTGCAATAGGCCCATGATGGGGCTGCACTGATTGAAACCAGCCAGGGGGATGACAAATCTTCCTCTTAATATTTCAATTGACTTTGGCAAACTTGCCTCTTTCTTGTGTATCCTAAATCAATGTGTAAGTGCTGCTGACAGTAATTTCCACTTTTGTCTGTGCAGATGGTTGCCCTTCACCAGGCTGCGGTGTTTATACCTGCTAAGTTTGCAAACACTTTTCTGCTACAGCCTCCCATTGAGCAGTATTTTTCTTTAGCTGTCATATTTGTGAGATGAAAATGTTCTTTCTTGGGCCCAGCTTGAATGTGAATTTTCTTCTTTCAGCAAGGGCCACTGAAATCTGGAGTGGAAGTGCAACCTGCAGCTCGATCAGCAGGATGCTCTGGGTGGGGGATTTGAACTGTCTTAGGGGTCTAGATGCTCCAGAGCAGGGTCTGAGAGCTGGTGTCCAGACTCTTTCAAAGTCCTGCTGCTGGATCCTGTGACTTTTTAGTTGCATGTCAATGTAGACCCCTATGCACTCCATAATTATTAGCAAGTAGCAAATCTTTAGGGTGAAAGCTGCAGTATGAGTATTGGAGTCTCATAGGCCTAAGGCACTGCTGTTCTATCTCTGCTTGTTTGGCATAAAGAAGAAGCTGCTGCTTTTCTGTTTGTTTGTTTAGCCCCTGTCTTTGAGGCACTAAATAGAATCTGCAATCCATCAGTCATGCACCCAACTTCAGTGTGCGTTCCCTGGTGTAGGATGCTTTGGTCCAGCTACTCTTTCAAGGCAGGCTATTGTACTATTCAAATAAAATAAATATATATAATTAAATATAATAAATAATAATAAAAATAATTAAATATAATAAATAACTAAAACAAGCCTTTCTCTTGTGCACAGGGAGAAGATGCCATTCCACCATGTAACAGCTGGCTTGTTGTACAAAGGCAACTACCTGAACCGCTCACTCTCTGCTGGCAGTGACAGCGAACAGCTAGCAAATATCTCCGTGGAGGAACTAGATGGTGAGCCTTGTGGGTTTCCAAAGGGAGCTGGGAATGGGGAAAGGCTTGTTTTCACCTTCTCTGTAATGTCATCATGCAATAACTGGAGGTATTCTCCCTGTGAAGCAAGGAACAAAAGGCAGGTCAGAAGTGAGATGGCTTGGCAGATCAGGGACAAAGAAAAGGTTCTAATCACGGTTATGTTGAAAGCTGTGGACTGACTGTAGCCTCAGATTCTGTCCTTCTGCCTAGGAATAAGGCAGTTTTTTTGAAAGAATAAGGCTGCTTCTTATGGGCAAAACTCTGTCAGAGTCAGGTTAATATCTTTTTTATAAAGATGTCTCTCTTTAGCCTTTCCTGGGAACCTGCAGAGCCGAATGTGTCTTCCTGTCAGGTCTTCTCATCTGCTTTGTGGCCTTTCAAAAGTAAGGTTTCTCTCTGTGCTTCAATATAACAAGATGCACAGAGGTGGCTTCTGGCTTAAGAAGCTGGAAAGAGCTTTCAAACTCCCTTTTCAAGGTTAGTGACTGGGAGCACAGACCTCAGGCTGGCAAAGGCTATCAGGAAGGTTGTCCACATCTGCTGTCTGTATGATCCCATCGTTTCCTCCCTGGAAGCTAGTTGCTGCTAATCCCTTCTGCTCAGCAGACATGATGTGAGGCCAGGTAGACTCCCAGTCTGGTTTGTGGAGGGAAGGTCTCTTTCATAGGCAATTTGTGGCTCACTAGGGGCACTTCTAAGCTAAAGTTAATACTGTTGACAGCTGGTCTTTGAGAGCTGTGGAACAAATTGAAGCTCTTGGTTTGCTTCCCAGTGGGCATTTGGTACAAGCCATGATCATAATCATATCTATTGAGAATTTGAGGAGGAATGAGCAAGGGAATGGTGCAAGGTGGAAATAAACCTTCCAGGACATGTTGGAGGCATTTTGGCAAAAAGGAAGGCCAACGTTTCTGCTCACCCTCTCTCTTTTCACCTGTGCTTTGATAAAGCAGACCTTAGTTTTCAAGCCTTGTCAGCTCAGAGCTTTGGGATTTGTCTTTGTGTTACATTAACTTACCTTTAGTACAAACAGTGTTTTCTGGGTATTTGTAACTGCTTTTCTTCTTCCCAATGAGTATATGCTGAGGTGCAGTTCAGGTGAGAGATGAAATGTGAGAAACCACTTTCAGTGCAGCTTAGTTAAGACCCCAGGAATACAAGTATATCAGAGGCATCTTCTGGGCTCCTCTACTGGGTTACAAGTGCTTTGCTTGAAGTTTTATGTTTTTGATCAGTGCTGAACTGGGTTAGCTTCTGTGCATCCTATAGACGACAAACTACATTGCAAGGTGAAGATCAGTTGCTGTTCCTATTCAGGATGACAGGGGTTGGCTCCGCAGACAGGAGAATGTTGGATGAAGTCTTGCAGTTTATTTCAAATGAGAAGAAGGTGTTTTCTGCTGTGCCTACCCTGATTTGAGCATGTCTGCTGCAATTGCCTTTGAGATTTGCAGGCAACTGTCAAGGGCCGATTTAAGTGGCATCAGGGCTGCAACCCACTGTCAGGGCCATCCCAGCACATGAGGGAAACTTGTCCTTGATTTGTGCCCCTGCTGTTTGCATGGAAATGGTCCATGGCTGGGCACGGGAAGGAAGCCCAGTCTCATTTCCATCCTTCCCACGTCTCCCTGTTGCCAACCACATAGGGCAGTCTGCAAGCTTCACAAGTCCTCTTGGAATTGCTTTCCCACTGGCACCTCCAGGGTAGGAGCTATTGGAGAGAGCAGAGCACAGCCCCATGGCCAGACCCGCCTTCCCCAAGGAGAAACCAGTACTTGAGAGGCTGTGCATCATTTCCTCAATTAATAGCAAATGAAATGAATGTGGTGTAGAAGAGTTGCCTTTTGAGAAGGCAGCAGCCGAGTCACTGTTAATGTGAGTGCTGCATCCATTTAATGTGGTCAGTGCCCCATTATAACTGTGCTATTGAACTGGAGAGCAGCAGAGTTCATTCATCTCTGTTCACAGAGTATCCCCCTCGTTCTTCAGGAGCATGGTTAGAGCTCTTTAACTAATCATCCATTTATTCTCTGGCTGTTAAGCACAGGCTTCTTGTTAGAATTTAGTCTTTTTTTTTTTCTTTTCCTGACAGCCTTTTGCTTTACAAAAACCTATTTTCGAGAGCTTTATGTCTTTGCCATGAAGATATGCCCCAGTTCTAAGCCTAGCAGAGAAAAGCTCAACCTCAGACCATTTTTTTTTTTCACCTGTAAACACACAAGTGGTACCAAATTGATTCGTGTCTGCTAGAGCCAGAGCAGCAGAAGAAGCTGGAGATGTTTTTCTCTTTGCTGGCTACCAAAGTACAGCCTAGCCACTGGAAATTGTATGTAATATTAGGTCAGTAGTCACTATTTACTGTGTTTCATCGCTAATACATGATCACTGACTAGGTATGCTGGTAATTGGTGACAGTACAACTGTTACCTACCCAAACCAGAAACGGGCTTTATGCCTTTAAGCATAAAATAGCTCAGAATGAGTAACAAAATGTTCTTTCTTGAGAAGTTAATGTCAGTGTATGGGAGCTTTGTGGCTATATCAAGCTGTAATAGCTCAATGCCAATAACGTACTTGCATTTAATCTTACAGGCTGGGAGAGAGATGCCAAATTCTCCTTGGTTTCTTTTTTGATGAGATTTTTGTCCCAGGGGAGTTCCAGCCTATTGAGAAATTCCAGTCACACACATTAAATTATTAAAGGTTTGAAGCTGGAGAAGTCAGTGGGAATTTTCTATGATGCTCCTCTGCATTTAAGGCCCCAACAAATGCCTGCTTTGGGGAAAGCAGTGCAGGTTTTCAGATGCACATGCACCACTGAGAGCTCAGGTTGCTGCTCTGCCTCTTCTGCAACCAGTTATTTTTCCCTCCTATAAAAACTTTTCTGACTTGCATCAGCCATCTGTCGACTTTAACACCGCTTTAAATACTATGCTGGCAGCAAGGAAAGAGGCTGGAGAGATAGCAGGTCACTCTGCTGATGGCTTGTCTGTTCCTAGCAGCGGTGTTTGCTATTTGCAGTTCTGTAGTAGCGTGAGGCTTTTTAGAAGCTGTCACTGTCACAGAGGGAATTAACTTGCAGAAAGCTATATTAGGTGATACTTAGCTTTGTAACATCAAGTAAATGACGGAGTTGAAAGTGGCAGGCCATCCATAACCTGTCTCTTGGGGACCATAAACTACAGCAGGGTCTCAAATGGATGTTATTGCCATATGCTTAGTGGTTTCTATGCATGGGATTATAAATTAAGGCTGGGAGGAACTGTTTTACATATAGATTTTCTAGCTATTGTTGGTTGGCATAAAATTGTGGCACAGTTTGTGCATACTCTGTGGTTTCCATATCCCTTTTAAAACCAGCTTCTGTATTCACATTATGAACAGCTAGGAGTATTTTTAATAAAAAATGGTGGATGGAAATAATCATGTCAAGCTTGAGTCATCCACCTCCATAGGCTCTATCTAAAGGGTATTGTCAGGAGGTAAAAACATTTCCATAGTAGGAATCTGACAAATATCACCTGAAGGGAGGCACATGCATTTTAAGTAGGCTTTTCAGAAAGTGCCTGTGAAATGTGTGCTACTCAGTGCCTTGCAGAGAAAACTCAAATGTGAACCACAGCAGCAGCTATTTGTCCAGAAAGACATCCTGATACATCCTTACCTGACCCAGATTCCTTTGAAATCAGCAGGGCCCATGCAGGAGGGAAAGTTGCTGTATGGCAGCAGGACAGCTATTGGCATCTGGTGCCTTAGACCCCATAGCCCTGCCCTAGGTGGGGTCTGTGGTATCTACAAGGCTTTTTTTAGGCTGGGAGCTGGGTTTTTTTGTGATGGCAGACATCAGCCTAGCCTGCTCGATGCAGTCCTTAAGGTTGAGATCCAGAGTGGAAATGTCATTGTTTTGCCTGCCTAAACTGGAGATGTCAGCAGAGCAACACATGAAATGGGGGCAAAACTGCTGCCTGTGGGAGCTTGGGGTGCAATGGACTTCAAGGCAGGAATCTGGGGACTTTTCTACTGTTATAGATTATACACACCCCATTGCAGGATGTGTACCTCTTTCCTGCTTTTTCCCAGCAACCACCCCCTTTGTCACCTGCAGAAGCCCTTAACTGGGTCACTCTTCCCTGGGCTCCTGTGTAAAAGTCAACCATGAGCAGCTTCAGCGTATACTGGGAAACAGCTCCTGAAGTAATTCAAACGGCACGGTTAAATGATGCCCATATGGATTTTAAACTAACAGTTGTCTCTGGCATGCCAATAACTCAGGCAATGCCAAGTGGCTTAAGGTATGTTGGGGCTGCAGGCAGTTCTGGAGTCCCAGCAGCACAGTGAGGTGGTCAGTCATAGGGCTGATGACATGCTGGGTCCCTGCTGCAGGGGATGTCAGGTAAGATAGCCCCACATCACAAACACAGCTATGCCATCCTGGCCCTGCCTCTGAAAATAATGCCCAAATCAGGGGTGTTTACCCTCTTGTGCGTGTCTGATATGATGGTCCTTGGATGTTGTAAGTCCTGGGAAGGCAGTGACCATGATGCTGTCACCGTGCAGTCTCATTTGGGACTTTTTATTCAGCAGAAACCCTGTTACCCACAAGGATTGTGTCTGATCCAGTGTTATCAGAGTCCCCTGCTTGCAGGAGAGTCAGGGCTGTGCAGCTCCTCATGTCTCTCTCCAAGTGTTGATTTTTCTCCAGGTCTGTTTGATTGCTAGCAGAGATTTTGCTCCTGCTGATGGGCACAGGAGGCAGAGGGGCAGGCAGATTCCCTCCAGCTTCAACAGCCAGCTGCCTGAGCCGTGTCGGCAGCTCAGGCTGATTATCTTTGATGTCTCAGGTGAGATCAAACAGTGTTTTGGAGAAGTAATGTGCTCCAGAAGGGAAACCCAGGGGGGAGAGTCATTAGTCACTTGACTGACTCATGTAACAGCAACAGGCTGCGTCTGCTCCGCTCGGCTTTTTGTCCATGGGAAGG